TGTGTGTGAGTGTGTGTGTGTGTGTGTTGTGTGGTTTTGGGGTGTCTTGTGCGGTGTAATGACTGGCCGCACTTCTTGTGACCTGACAACCTTTCTGGGACCCCTCACCGTCTTACAAAGTTGCCTTAAAGCTTGTCCCACCCACTTTCACACTCGTCAACACTATATTCTCTATGTCTATGCTTTTCTAATCTAATTCTGGTAATAAACTTGCAGGAGTGAGTGACCAGTATCAAACAGTATACAAGGCCAGCCGGGCCGTCAAAATGCAACACAATAGCGAATAACTTTTCGGTTGACAGTTGCCACTGCTGAAAGGGCGTAGTCGTACGTAGGCCTTAATCCCTATTTTGGGATCTTCACCCGTGATGATTATAAACCTTTTATTCCGCTTCTATTCACTCTTCATGATGATAGTATCATTCAATTTTTTTTCATTCATATGTTTTTAATGGCACACAACTTTTTCGTGAGTACTCATCAGGCTCGCTACCAATGTGGAAAGCGGGTAAAACCCCCAAAAGGGTTTGCCTTTTGAAATATTATGATTTCAGCTTTCCTCCACTTTCTTTAACTAATAACTTTAATTATCACTCGTAGTTTGTTCACTGACGTTCCCATACCCCCTGATTAGGGTTTGTGTGTGTGTGTGTGTGTGTGTTGTGTGTGTGTGTGTGTGTGTGTGTGTGTGTGTGTGGTTATGTGTGTGGTATGTGTGCATGGTGTGTGTGTGTGTGTGTGTGTGTTGGGGATGTGTATGTTGTATGTGTGTGTGTGTTGTGTATGGGGTGTGTGTGTGGTGTGTGTGGTTGTGTGGGGTGTGTGTGTGTGTGTGTGGTGCTTGTAATTTCAAACAGGCGAATTTTTAAAAACATTATTCTAGTCACAACCCGGAAATTAACCTGCCAACTTGATAGATTTTAAAGTACTTTATCCACGACGTCAGGGAACCCCGTGGGTTCTGACGTGGGCAGCATCAAACACCCTTCAGGAAACAAGAGGTCTCACCGGCATCATGGCGGCATCAAGGCTCTCACCGGCTCATGGCGGCCCTAGGCCCTCACCCGGGATCATGGCACCCACTTCCTGAAAGGGCTCATAGAAGAAGATTATAAAAATGCCCAAAAGAATTTATGTGTTTACTTTTCTTTTTTAAGGCGGAGTGCAGACGTGCCGCGATTACTATGTTTGCAGGGCTCGATCTGTCCAGTAAGAGCGAGTCAAACAAACGTGTAGGGATACAAGTGGCACTTCTTCGGTAGAGAAAGCCCTGGAGGTAAAAAAATGTTTAAGGGCATACTAAGGGTAGTCGGAAACCTGAAAATTTTTTTAGGGATTATGGCAGCAAGAGGGAATATGTGAGGCATTCAGTTTGTCGCGAGAGGAAGATAACTGGGTCTGAAACAAGAGTTATATAAGCATTAACGGGGACACAGAGAGGATGTCATTAAAAATTCCTTTATTAAAAATTTGTAACCTATTTTGACGTGTCAAGATACTTATTAATGAAAATAAGATACCAATTATGTTAAGCAAATTTCCCAATTTGCTTGTAACAGATAGTGAAATCTAGATATAAATTGATGGACTTCTGTTAACCCTTTTGGGGCCTAGTTCCTAGGCCTTTTGTGTATCCATATGCACTCCCAGCCACAGGACGGATACTGGATGCACAATAAATTAGCCATTATGGTGGCAAAAACTAAATTTGAGGTTTTGGTGAATTTGGCTTTCGTTATATGAAGATGACAGATGCATCTTGGAAGTTGGTGAGTGGAGGAGCCATGGAGACAGAGAGAGAGAGAGAGAGAGAGAGAGAGAGAGAGGTGCAGGCATGGGATGGGAGGCTGATGCGTCAAGATGTTATGCGAGGACACGTACATGGGAGTTCACGGTAGTCATTGATGAGGGCTAACTATTGTATAATTCTACCTTTGCTTGTTTTTTGACAGCTGAGATAAAAATAAAAAAAAATCAGGAAAATTCTTAATCTGTGTTACTGCCTATGTGGCGACTGTGTAGTGTGACAGGTGGGTGTCAGTCCTAGTTGTGGATGAGGGTGGTGGACTTACAGTGTGACAGGTGGGTGTCAGTCCTAGTTATGGATGAGGGTGGTGGACTTACAGTGTGACAAGTGGGTGTCAGTCCTAGTTATGGATGAGGGTGGTGGACTTACAGTGTGACAGGTGGGTGTCAGTCCTAGTTGTGGATGAGGGTGGTGGACTTACAGTGTGACAGGTGGGTGTCAGTCCTAGTTTGGATGAGGGTGGTGGACTTACAGTGTGACAGTGGGTGTCAGTCCTAGTTGTGGATGAGAATGGTGGACTTACAGTGTGACAGGTGGGTGTCAGTCCTAGTTGTGGATGAGAATGGTGGACTTACAGTGTGACAGGTGGGTGTCAGTCCTAGTTGTGGATGAGGGTGGTGGACTTACAGTGTGACAGGTGGATGTCAGTCCTAGTTGTGGATGAGGATGGTGGACTTACAGTGTGACAGGTGGGTGTCAGTCCTAGTTGTGGATGAGGGTGGTGGACTTACAGTGTGACAGGTGGGTGTCAGTCCTAGTTGTGGATGAGAATGGTGGACTTACAGTGTGACAGGTGGGTGTCAGTCCTAGTTGTGGATGAGAATGGTGGACTTACAGTGTGACAGGTGGATGTCAGTCCTAGTTGTGGATGAGGATGGTGGACTTACAGTGTGACAGGTGGGTGTCAGTCCTAGTTGTGGATGAGAATGGTGGACTTACAGTGTGACAGGTGGGTGTCAGTCCTAGTTATGGATGAGGATGGTGGACTTACAGTGTGACAGGTGGATGTCAGTCCTAGTTATGGATGAGGATGGTGGACTTAAATACATAACATTTCGTTGAAGAGTGAGGGGGGGGGGGGGCTGTGTCAAATTCTATATGCGTTCCTATAATGATATTGGGCACTAATGGTTCCTCAATGTAAACTTGGTAATTATATCCTCTTGAAGTTCTCAGTTTGAAGCAGTGAAGCTTAGTGTTTCATCTGTGACATTTCAATATCTTTTGAACGGATCGGCGCCTTCATATTTTATCGTGTGGTTTCAGTATTTCACATCCTGGAAAACGGTACAGTTCTCATGTGCATATCTAACAGACAGTTATTCTACCTGTTCAGTTATTCTACTTCAGTTATTCTACCTGTGAGAGCACGAACAGTGTCACCCACGAAAGCTCACTCACAGTCGTGGCATGGTATTTCGTAGAGCTTAATGGGTAAAACTACTAAAGTGTGTCACAGTTGAAACTGGACTCATCTACAAACCTGTCAGACACCGCAGCTTCTTGGGATCTTAATACTTAGGAATTCTTCGCTTGCCTAATTCTTGGGCACAACCTACTTCCACATTGAACAAATGTGACACCACCTATGACTGTTGCACCTCTCCTGCCATACGGTTTATAAGCTGCTTCTCCGCTCATCTGCCGTATTCTACTCAAGATTGATGGACTGAACACATCGACTCAAGGTTGAGGGACTGATTACCTCGTTCTCCTCCTGTTCTTCAAGTTTCTCCTATGTATGGACTGATGAAGCCACTGTGTGGCGAAACGTTTCCTCAATAAAGATACCCAAGAGTTGCACATGTGTCTAATTTATCATAAGGCTATCGGTTGACCTGGATAGGTTGATGTTGTGGTCGGAGAAGTGGCAGGTGCAGTTCAGCGCAGACAAGTGTAAGGTTCAAATCCCAGGGAAAGAATAACTATGGCTCTTGTGAACTAAATAATGTACATCTTAGTCAAACTAAAGTCGGAAAAGCTTTAGAAATTCTAATTATCAGAATTGTAAAGCCAAGACAACATTGCATAGGTGTCTGCAATACAGCGAATATTATAATTAAGTTTACCGCTAAACCTGAAAGGCTTCATATCAAGAAGTATATATAATAAAAGTCCCCAAGTTATGCTTCAACTTTGAATATCTTTGGTAAGGATTCCTTTAGATTATGCCTCTTAGTTCTGGTCTCCGTTTCACAGAATGAACATAAATGGGCTGAGAAGCACACGAAGAAGGATGACGTTAATTCCATGTATCAAGAATCTTCCATACTAACAAACTCTGAAGGTACTGAATTTGTCCTCTCAGGAAAGACGTGGAAGACGGGATATGACTGAAGTATACGAATGGAAGACCGGAATAAATAGTTAAATAACGTGTTGAAAATATTCAAGTTGGAAACATTTAGATTTAGAGAGGATGTAGGAGAGCACTGGTTTGACAGTAGAGTTGAGGGTGAGTGGAACAGCCTCCCAGGTCGAGTCACTGAGGCCGGAACTTTAAATAGCGTTAAAAAATAAAATTGGACGAGTATATGAGTGGGTGTGAGTTGGACCTGCCTACTGCAGTGCTCCGCTATTCTAACGTTCTTGTGTGTAAGGTCAATAGACCTTAAACCCGATCAGCCAGCAACACAGGTCAAGGTATGAAGACTGGTCGTGCAGGTGATCTTTTCCTTGTCAACGCCACTAGTTTTCACTCTGCAATTATTAACTCATCACATGAACCATTTTACCTTCGTGGAGGTTGTGCCTAGAGGTCGGGCAAAGGTTCTTGGTTCAAGGATTTGAAGCTGTTTTCCCACTTCTCTGAGCCTAACATTATCGTAATGAAGATACCTAGGCGTTGCTCATGTGTTTTATTCATCTATAGTCCTGTATACATAGAAATTGCCCTATGGATGTTATACCCTAAGGGATATACACCTCTGGGTTATATATATGTTGGTAGAATTACCGACAGTATGTAAAGTAAAAGGACACAAGTGCAATTAATGTAACATTTTATTGTGGCAACGTTGCGCTCTCCAGGAGCTTTGTCAAACCGTAACGGCTTGACAAAGCTCCTGGAGAGCGAAACGTTGCCACAATAAAATGTCACATTGTTACACTTGTGTCCTTTTATTTTGCATACCTCTGGGTTAGGTGACCCTCTAACTACCACCGGTTACGATAACCAGAATTATCATTGCAGGCTTCGCGATGCGGCTACGTGATCGTCATTATGGCCATTTACTGGATGACGGAGGCGCTGCCGTTGGCGGTGACGGCGCTCATCCCGGTGTTCGCCTTCCCGCTGCTGGGCATCCTCGACACTGGCAGCGTCTGCGTCGTCTACATGAAGGAGACCAACATGATGTTCCTGGGCGGACTCACTGTTGCGATAGCAGTTGAGCACTGCAATTTGCACCGAAGGATTGCGCTCAAGGTCATCCTTCTCATTGGTGCGTTATTATTATTGTTGTTGCTATTATTATAGTTTCTATTATTATTATTAGATGGAGTACAAAGAAAATATATCAGTGGGATAAAGGGTAATGTTAAGATTTTATTAAAGAGTGTGGAAGGGAGTAGAATGTATTGGGGGGGTAAGGAGGGCAAAATGATAGAAAGGTAGGTTTAAAGCAATAATTAAGAAAGGTAAACCAGTCAAGAGAAAAGTGTTGGGTGGGTATGAGGGGTTTTTAAGGAGAAAGAAGGGAAAAAGGGGTAGGAGGGAGAAAGGGGAAAAGGTTTAAGAAGAGAGGGAAGAATGGGGGGGGAGATAATTTCTGGGAAAAGGGGGGTTTTTAAGGGAGAAAGTAGGGGAGGAAGGATGGGGTTAGGGGGTGTTTTTAAAACAAAGTGGGGAAGATTTAGATGGGAGGGGAGGGACGGAAAATGGTATAATATCAGGGGCCGGAATATAATTAAAAATAATCAAATCCTCAAAGGAAAAGGGAAATTTTTAAAAGATTAACAATCAGGAGGGGATCAGGAAATTAAAAATATAAACCCTCAAAAAGCCCCAAGGTTTAAAGTCAAAAAAGGGGAAGGAATTTGTAAATTCAAAAAAGGGACCAGACGTAGATCAAATCAAGGGAGCAAAAGTAAAATAAACCGTTTATAAAATTATAGACATAAGAAAAAATATAGGTTCCTGTCAAAAATTTAGATTTTGGGTTGTTGACAAGTATGCACGGTTGGTTTACCGAAGAATTAAAAGTTTTTAAATATTTAAGAATTGAACATAGGAATTTTATAAAAATTAAAAGAAAGATTTACAAACTAGGGGCCCCAAAATTATATAAATATCAAATTAAGAAAGGGAACGTGCAACACCCTCAGAGGATTTCCAGGAAATTTATACCCTTAAGGCCCCAAATTAATAATTTAACAGGGGACCCCGGAGGTTTAAAAACGCCTGGGGGAATGTAGGTTTCCACTAAGGGGAATGGTACAAAAAAGATCTTAATTTCACTAAGAATAAGGGCCCCTCCCAACATGGGAACCTTCCCTTTGGGGGTTTAACAAGTATTTCTGGTTATTTTTAGAATTAAGAATAATAGTATTAAACAACAAAGGTTTTAGAAATTTTGTATTTCCAAAGTTGTCTATGTTAGTAAAAAATCGATAAATTAAAAAGTGCTACTTAACTCTCAATATAATCTAGGCTTTGACCAAGGCTAAATATATTATTAAACAGAAGACTAAACCGAAGTTATAACCCCGGGGGAGTGAAGCTCAGGAACAAGGAACAAAATTTTAAACGACCCCTAACTGGGAAACCTTTCCCAGGAAGATCCTCAAAAAAGGAAATTAAAATCTTAATTACAACGGGGTTAGAATTTAACCAATTTGATTCCAGTCAATACCAACAAAAAAAGTAGAAAACGCCTTAACCTGAGTTCTTGACCCACAAACTTCTGTAAAGCGACGAAAAACACAATATAACATGCCGTGAACGAGAACAAGAACAAAAAGATAATTGACTCACTCCCGAAACATTTTTTACTAACTTAGCTAACCAAAAATTAAAAAGTCCAACAACAAAAAGAGAAGAAAAGAGGATGAGAGGAAAAAGAAAAGTGAGAAAAAGAGAAAGTGGAAGAGAAAGAGCGAGAAGAAGAAAGAAAAATAAAAGAGAAAAAAAGAAAGAAAGAGAGAGAGAAGAGAGAGAGAGAGAGAGAGAGGATAGAAAAGGAGAAGAAGAAAGAAGAAAAAGAGAGAAAAAGAAGATAGAGAGAAGAGATGAGATCGGTTTCGAAAAAGGGAACCAGCAGAAGAGATACCGAGCAAGGGAGGCCAGTCCCCAAGCTCAGGTGCGGTCACGTGATTCCTGGTGCTCCCCAGCTACTCCAGGACTGACCGGCAGGTAAACAAGCCAGGTGGTTAACAATTTAAAAAACAAGGTAGTTTGCTAATGCAGGAAGCCACTCAACACTGGACAGTGAACACAGTAAGTGTAAATGTTAAAAAATCCTACCTAATGAAATATGCTAAGTCAAAAAAAAAAATATAAAACAAGATATTTTCAATTTAGCTAATAATGAAAATATCACAATATAAAATTATATGTAAAATAATATACATCAAATGTACAGTATATACATTGGGCCCCATTCAAGGGGTGCAACACCCAGACTCTGTAGATCAACACTGAAGGGACCCGGGAGCTGTAGGTAAACACTAAAGTGCCCCAGGAGCTGTAAATCAACACTCAGGGCCCCAGAAGCTGTAGATCAACCCAAAACTCGGGGACCCAAGAGCTGTAAATCAACACTAAGGGGACCCAGGAGCTGTAGATCAACATTTAAGAGACCCAGGAGCTATAGATCAACATTCTCAAGGAACCCAGGAGTATAGCTCAGTATCCTCAAGGGATACAGGAGCTGTAGATGAACACCCTGAAGGACCCAGGAGCCGTAGATCAATGTTCAAGGGACCCAGGAGCTGTAGATCAACACTGAAAGGACCCGGGAGCTATGACTCAACCGGAGCTGAAGTTTACAGCAACACAGCATGTCTATGGTTCACGGAACTACACACCAGGCAACCCATAACCCCATCTATTCAAACACTTATAAATGTTAAAATTCATAAATACAACGATAAAAGAAGAAATATCAAGATACTTATTAGAAAGAGAAATTTTAAAATATATTTTTGAATGAATCAGTATTTTTAATTTGAAAACTTTAAGATGATAAAAAAATAGTAATTTTTTTGGAGTAAAATTATTTTTTTTTTTCACAGTGGTAGTCTACGAGTGCCCTCAAAAGTTTTTGGACTCGAGTTTTGGGGTTTCTTTTGTGAAATTTTGCGGCGGCGTAGATGACGCGTGCGAACGTTCCCTTGTGAAGCATTCTGGCGAGGTTCACTGTCGGTCGTTCCGTTAATTCTTTGTTGTGTGTAACCGAATGGAATCTTTCAAAAAAAAACAGCGTGTTTGTGTGTGAAATCGTGTTTCAAGCTTGGTAAAATGACCAAGACTCACAAAATGCTTCAGCAAACATTTGATGATGAAAACAATGGTCGGACAGTGTTCCGAATGATTTTCTCGAATCAAAGCAGAAATAACGTCCCGTTGAAAATGATGAACACTCTGGTCGCCCATTTAGCGTCAAAACAGACGCCAACATGCAAAAGTGAGGAAGATTATTCAAGAAGATCGTTGTCAGAGTATCCAGGACACTGCATTTGCTATGAGAAGTTCTTATGGGTCGTATCAGAGCATTTTGACTGAAGATTTGAACACGAGGCGAGTAGTTGCAAAATATGCAACTCAAGACCATCGTTTTCTGGCCCAAAAAAAATATGACGGTCATTTCCATACACACTTTCCCTACTCCCCAGATCTAGCCCCCTATGACTTCTCTCTATTCCCAAAAATAAAAATGGCATTCAAGGGACGGCGTTTAACGACGTGGAAATTTAAGCAACGCACAGGCTGGTCTAAAGGACGTTAGAAAAGAAGAGCTCAAGAAAAATTTAAAAAAGTGACAAAGGGGCTGGGTCAGTGTATAGCCTCCTAAGGAGAGTAAATTCCCCGGGAGACAACTTCAACTAGGTGCTTAGGTAAGCCTAGATATTTTTTTCGCGGTAGTCCACAAACTTTTTGATAGCACCTCGTGTTTTAAATTCTCTTCATATATATATTAAGAAATATGTATGTGTACCCCTTGTCTTTCTGGAAGAAGAATGCCTACCGGAGGAGCAAGTAGTGATACACATCTCAAGAACTGGAATATTGGGCAAATTGGTACCTACAAAGTCCAGTAAGAGGCCAAAACTTCCTCCAAGTGAGATACATCAGTGTTGAAGGCTTGAATATAAACAGAGAAGGCATTCACGAGTTATTTCATGGAAATCAACATTACAATTTTCCAAATTTCTTCGATAAATTTATAAATATTGTACAGTTGGTTAAAAAATGAGGATACAAGGGTAAAAATAACATTTATTTCGACAATGTTTCGTTTTCAAGGAGTGAGGCGCTGTTAGACGAGTCACTTTCTCATCAGACGGAGGCTCGAGCTTCCACTACTCTTAAACTCCCACATCGGTTTAGTAGTTAATATAGAAATATAAATAATATCTGTAAACTTTTTTTCACACGTAAACTAAGGAGAGGCAGGTGGCGAGAGATGCACACTGCTGTCTGAGATGCAACGAGACGTGAGCCTGAAGCATCCCTGGGGACAGGAATGCTTAGCATACTTATGGAGTCTTCCATGTAGGGAATCAACGCAGTTTTAAACCCGTCCTTATAGCACTCACGTACCTTCTGGTAAATCAACATTATTATTATTATTATTATTATTATTATTATTATTATTATTATTATTATTATTATTATTATTATTATTATTATTATTATTATTACTTGTATGTGTCTTGGTAATGCATCGACGAGACTTCACCAAAAATGACTGTTATTATAATATTACAGGACAGTCGCCTCGGAGGTTGATGGCAGGCTTCATGCTGACTACCATGTTCCTCTCCATGTGGCTCGCCAACACGGCCACCACAGCCATGATGGTGCCCATTGTGGACGCTATCCTGGCGGAGCTGTACGCGGTGAGTTGTGTCTTTACTGGCGGAGCTGTACGTTCATGTGTTAAAAATATCAATACCTGACAGATACCTGTCATATGAGAGTCGAGCGGGGAAGCCTGTTAAACGTTTTGCACTCTGGCAGGATGACCAAGTTTTACTCCGTCTCCTAAATGTGTGATATTGTAGGTAAATCTCACACATTTCTCCCTCACTGTACACTTGACTGAGTGTTAGTAGTTCTCACCTCTGTAATATTTCCTCTGTCGTTTGGGTCTGGTTAGAGATAGAGCCGTGGCAGCTGTGACCTCAAAAATCATTAAAATATGTAAGATATAGAACATGTAACTAACATATATCATAACACTACTACTCTTCTACTACTACTACTACCACCATTACTACTACTACTATTCCTGCTGCTACTACTGTCACTACTACTCCTGGAGCTACTACTGGTACTATGCTGCTGCTACTGCTACTATTAATAATAATAACAGTAATCATAATAATAATAGATCTGGTCTCCAGTCAGTGTAGATCTCGTGACAACTATCACAGTATGTGGTGGTGGAAGTGCCGCACCACAGGTGGAAAGTACAAAATAAAAGTCTAGTAGCCGGACACTGACCTTGGTGTGCCACTGGCGAGGTATTACCTCGTCATGGGTGCGTATACTGACAGGTGAATGTGTATTATCATGTATACACAGAGAAATGTGAATCATTATATACACACCCTCCCACTGAGTTATGTATATATATTATTTATATATGGGGAAATGGAAAAAAAAGTCTTCCTCTGTAAGCCATGCGTGTCCTAAGAGTCGACTAAATTTAAAAAGAAAAACATTAATTTTTCTCTTTAGATCACCCTGTCTCGGTGGGATGCGGCCGGTTCATTAAAAAAATCATTTTTATGTATTTTGTGTGTGTATATATATATATATATATATAATATATATATATATATAAATATATATATAATATATATATATATATAATATATGTATATATATATATATGTATATAATATTATATATTATATATATATTATATAATATTATAATATATATATTTTATAATATATATTATATATTTATTTATATATATATATATATATATTAGCACGCCGGGCCGTTTCCCATCAAGGCAGGGTAACCCGAAAAATTGCAGGTACTGTACTTCCCACCTCCAGGACTCAAGTCTAGCTAACCGGTTTCTCTGAATCTATAAATATTACCTTGCTCACACTCCAACAGCTCAAGTCCAAAAAAAACCACTCGCTTCCACCCCGCTCTAACACGCTCATACATGTCCGCTACATGTCCAAGCCTGCAAAACCTTGTATACCCACCCTCCATCCTTTCCTAGGACTACCCCTACATAGGTTCCCTCCACTACACATTTAAACACCCTCCAACTCATCCTATTTTGCTCCATTCTCTCTAAATGACCAAACCACCTCAACAACCTCTCCTCAGTCCTTTGGATAATACTTTCAGTAGTGCCACACCTCTTGATTTCTACACTGTGAATTCTCTGCATATTTACACCACGCATTGCCCTATATATATATAGAAGAGGCCCATGTCAGGTGTGCGGAGAGTTTCGAGCACGCAACAGGGATGGTCGCATTCGTGCACACAATGGGTGTGCAGGATCACATATGCCCCCAGCAGAGAGCAGCCCACAGCCTCCACAGGCAGATGACAATTCCAATGGCAACCTCCTCACTTGTGATAACCTTCTGTTGGCATTCAAATCCACTGCTAACAGTACCATATCCCACATCCCTAAAGCGGCTCGCCCATATGCAGCAGGGAAGTTCACAGACCTTCTCAAGCAGGTGAATGGAGGTTCCACCAACTTAGAAGCCCGAGGCACCATCCAAGCATGGCGCAACCTGCTCCTGTTCGGCAATGTCTGTCTTGCAGTTCCTGAGAGACGAGGCAAACTGCTAACCACGTCAGTTATCAAGGCAGTGCGCAACTACCCAAGAACAGATAATTGTGTCCCTCTGCCCCATCATCGCAGGAATCACAAAGGTAGACCCAAGAAAAGTCCCACTGAAAACGAGAAAATTTGAGCACAGGTTAGCAAAAAAATTGAAGAAGGTAACACAGTGGGAGCAATCCGAATAATTACAAGTGACGACACTGTAGCCCCCAAAGATGAGACCACAGCCCAAGCACTAAGAGACAAGCATCCGACCAGGGACACCATAGCCATCAACAACAACCCTGAGGAAGACCCCATCACTGAACAATTAATTTTGCCTGAATCAGAAGTCTATAAGGCGATTGTGTCATTTCCTGCAGGATCTGCAGGAGGTTACACTGGAATTCGACCTCAGCACCTCAAGGAGATGGTAAATCCAGTACTCGGTGCATCTGCATCACTTCTTCTCACCGAGTTGACAACTTTCGTCAACAACTGCCTGGCTGGGCGAATCCCAGAAGAAATTAAACCTTTCTTTTTTGGAGCCTCACTGTGTGCCTTGAAGAAGAAGGATGGGGGAATCAGACCCATTGCGGTTGGAAACACTCTTCGCCGTCTCGTTGCCAAAGCAGCAGTAAGAAACATTCGCCTAGAAGCTGCCAGTTTACTCCAGCCACACCAACTGGGTTTTGGGGTCCCTCAAGGCAGTGAAGCTGCAGCTCATGCGGCAAGGGCCTACATCAGGGACCTACCAGAAGACAAGGCCGTAGTCAAACTTGATTTTAGAAATGCCTTTAATATGGTAAAGAGAGATGCTGTCTTGCCAGCTGTTCGGGATCGCTTCCCCAGTCTTTTTCCCTTCATTTCAGCCGGCTACAGCAAACCCTCAATTCTTTTTTTTGGAGAACATGAAATTCTCTCATCAGGTGTTCAGCAGGGTGACACACGAGCTCCACTTCTCTTCTGCTTGGCAGTAAGAGAACTAACTTCCAGCCTAAGCAGCGAGCTCAATATCTGGTACCTGGATGACGGCACTCTGGCAGGTTTCTGAAGAGTCCCTGGTAGGGGACCTACAACTGGTGAAAACACAGGGAGAAGACTTGGGACTCATCCTCAATCCCTCCAAGTGTGAAATCATCACAGCAACCAGGAAATAATCAATGCTGTGCGAAGAATCCTCAGTTTTTAGCAAGCCGCTAACCAGACTGAGAGTCGAAGATCAAAATGAATTTTTTATGAGAGACCCACAAAATTTGATTAACACAAGCCAATCCGATGTTATCCTGACGCCAAATGACTTCGAACAGGCGATAAATGACATGCCCATGCACTCTGCCCCATGGCCAGACTCATGGAACTCTGGGGTTCATCAAGAACTGCAAGAAAGCCCCTATCACGAGCCTTTTCCATCCTAGGGAGAGGAGCATGGACACGGGGGTCGTCCCTCCAGTTACTAAAAACAACAGACATAGCCCCACTCCACAAAGGGGCAGTAAAGCAACAGCAAAGAACTACGACCAATAGCACCAAAACATCCCATATCATAAAAATCTTTAAAAGGGGTCCTAAAAAGCAAGATCACCACCCATCTAGAAACCATCAGTTACAAAACCCCAGGGCAACATGGGTTTAGAACAGGTCGCTCCTGTCTGTCTCAACTACTGGATCACTACGACAAGGTCCTAATGCACTAGAAGACAAAAAGAATGCGATGTAATATATACAGACTTTGCAAAACCCTTCGACAAGTGTGCCATGGCGTAATAGCGCCAAAATGCGCGCTAAAGGAATAACAGGAAAAGTCGGTCGATGGATCTAAAAATTTCCTCACTAACAGAACACAAGAGTAGCCCGTCAACAGAGTAAAGTCCGAGGCAGCTACGGTGAAAAGCTCTGTTCCACAAGGCACAGTACTAGCTCCCATCTTGTTCCTCATCCCATATCCGACATAGACAAGGATGTCAGCCACAGCACCGTGTCTTCCTTTGCAGATGACACCCGAATCTGCATGACAGTGTCTTCCATTGCAGACACTGCAAGGCTCCAGGCGGACATCAACCAAATCTTTCAGTGGGCTGCAGAAAACAATAGAAGTTCACGATGAGAAATTTCAATTACTCAGTATGGTAAACATGAGGAAATTGAAATCTTCATCAGTACAAAACAAATTCTGGCCAACGAAATAGAGCGAAACACCAACGTCAAAGACCTGGGAGTTATGTCGAGGATCTCACCTCAAGGACCAAACATTGATCAATCCATCTGCTAGAAAAATGACAGATGGATAATGAGAACCTTCAAAACTAGGGAGGCAAGCCCATGATGACACTCTTCAGGTCACTTGTTCTACTAGGCTGGAAAATTGCTGCACTCTAAAAAGCACCTTTCAAGGCAGGTGAAATTGCCCGACCTAGAAAATGTACAGAAAACTTTTACGGCGCGCATAACGAGATAAAACACCTCAATTACTGGGAGCGCTTGAGTTTCTAAACCTGTATTCCCTGGAACGCAGGAGGGAGAGATACCTGGAGTTTATATAAAACCTGGAAAAATCCTAGAGGGACTAGTACCGAACTTGCACACGAAAATCACTCACTACGAAAAGCAAAGACTTGGCAGACGATGCACCATCCCCCCCAAAGAAAAGCAGGGGTGTCACTAGCACGTTAGAGACCATACAATAAGTGTCAGGGGCCCGAGACTGTTCAACGCCTCCCAGCACACATAAGGGGGGTTACCAACAGGGCCCCCGGCAGTCTTCAAGCTGGCACTGGACAAACACCTAAAGTCAGTTCCTGATCAGCCGGGCTGTGGCTCGTACGTTGGTTTGCGTGCAGCCAGCAAGCAACAGCCTGGTTGATCAGGCGCTGATCCACCCGGAGGCCTGGTCACAGACCGGGCCGCGGGGGCGTTGACCCCGAAACTCTCTCCAGGTAAACTCCAGGTAAACTCCAGAAGTCTCTACTACCACTCCAAACCAACAGTACCCTCTTGGGAGCACCCGCTGGGTCACCAGGCCATCGACACAGTCCTCAAGGACAAATTGAATGACCCGATGAGAAAAGGAGGAGAGAATAAGCAATC